TTTTTCAGTAATATTCATGTGACTCTCTACTCAGCACTACGTATCCTTTTTATAAGTAATTTTTCTGATGTCAAAGCTTAGAAAGTCCATTACTAAACTATTTACTGTGTTACAGATGTACTGTTTGACAGTGACGGCAATGTGCTTTATCAATCTTAAGACTAATAATATTCAAAGTATATGAGGAATGAGCAGTTTAAAAAAAACAATAATCACAAAATCTTTTATGACCTTTGCTAAGAATAATGTGATTTCTATCCAATTCTTATCTGTTACAGGTGAAGGACCTCTATAGTCTTGGAAACTATAGTCATGCAACATCTCTGTGGTGATTAATTAGACCTTCACATCAACCATTCTATTTCTTCATCTTTTGTTGGGGAAAAGTGTAAGTTTCATGCATTCATCTATATTGTAATTTGGAGATTACTTCATCTTTAAAAAGTTATTTTTAATATTCACTGTACTGAACAACCATTTCATTTGTAAGGCTAGTTTAGAAATTCTACTATAGAAATTTATTGGCAGCTGCTGCCAAGGTTGTTGCCCCTGCCTAAAATATACACAACCATTCTGACAAGTCTATTTAGCCACAGACACAGGCCAAGGCAGAGACATGTGAGTTCCCAGAGTATCCTGCATTTATTTGACTCTTTGTAGGATTTGTGACCTATTACAGTGTCTATTTTAAGGACTTCATGCAACTGAAATTCTAGAATCAGAATTGCTCACACTGGGAGAGAGGTGGGTGGTATTTTGGAAACTGAACTCACAAACAATTCCAAGTTTTACAGGTGGCCCCCATCCCAAAACTGGTTCGTACCAAAACTGACACTGAAAATGGGATCTGGATTTTCTATTTAGGTTCATCTATATTTTAAAAATTTATCCTTTGTATGGCTTTTATTTTACTTTTTTTTTTTTTGGTAGTGTTTGGTTTTTTGGTTTTGTTTTGGTTTTTTGGTTTGTTTTTTTTTCACTTTCTCATTTGCCTTTGTACCCTTCAGAAATTCTCCTAATATTTGCTTAGCCACAGGGGAAGCACTAAAGCAGAGTTCTTAGGGTTGTTATCCAGTTCTAGATACTGTGTTAGCAAAGCTCCTTAGAGTGTTAAACTACACAAAAGCAGTTTCTATTCAGCCCTGTGTCTCTACACTATTCAGCTATATTATTCACAGGCTCCTAGCAGGAAAACTTGTGATAGCTTCCCAAATTATTCAAATCAATCTAAAAATAAGGTTTTTTATATGATTATGTCATTACTGGAGGAAATGTATCACATGTTTTGTAATCAAAAAGCAATGATTATAACCAAATTGTTTTCAAACTTATTTGTTTAGTTGTATCATTACTTTTTCAGTTTCACAATTTGGAAAATCCAGAATACTATGATTTATGAGAAGAATAAAATAATTTTCCTGTCTGTGACTTATCTTGGGAGAGAATTTTAGTTTTCTTGATATGGCTAATCTTTTTTAAAATATATAGACATATATGTAATATAAAATATATTTACTTACATTTTTATTTTATGGTTGAAAATCCAATAAAGGTACTTAAAGTCACTCTTCTTTGACAATCTGGCCTTCTAGACTTCATGCCTCACTTAAGTTGTACTTCCTTTCAAAGATGACTGTCCCTAGTTAAAACTCCAAAATTCTTAAGGGGACCCATCCTTTTGTAGCTCTGCAGCTTTCTAATAATTAAAAAATCTTTATCGATCTTGATGATATCTAGTAACCTGCACCTAAATTAATCAAGTCCTGACTTTTATCAATGGAAAATATCTCTTAATGTTACTGACTGTTCCTTTTCTCCCTACCATTAGTTATTTTGTACACTTCCATGACAGCATCCCATGACACATACCTTCTCTCCTCTCTAATAATTCTGTATGTTACAGCTCTCTCTCCTCATATAGAAATTGTTCCAGGTCTCTCGTTTGTCCATTGTCCTATTCTTTTCTGGTCCATTTCCACTTCTATTATATCACTTAGATGACTGAGATTTTACGAAGTATAATAAAGAAGGGGTGCCACTTATTTATATGTCACATTTTGTTATTCTCCCTCTCCCAAGAAACACCAGTGTTCACAGAAAGTTTTTTATTTTGAACATTAGTGCACACTTCAAGACCTGTGTTAGACAATCTAAATTTCATATTTTGGTGTGAATTTAGAAGAGTGTCTCCAGTGTTACTTCCCAGCATGCACATGGAGATGGAAATCATCTTCAACATATATTTGCACAGAATGAAGTTGGCTTTAATTTTTGGCACAACCAAATGCTTTTGTATTTAGTCTCCATTAGAATTGTGTTGTGCTCCAGGATAATATTATTATTTTAACTTCAGCTATCTGACTCCTTTTTCAGCTGTGAATGTATCTATCAAAAAATGTTGGTCAGCTAGATTTAATCAGACAATAAGTGGAGACGTTTCTGCAATTATTTCTCTTTAAATAAAAAAGGTATCCAAGAAAAATTCTGAACATAATACACAAAAGTAATGGAGTCCAAAATCAAGGGTCTTAGTTAGGCTACCAATTTATATTTGGGCATATAACTGTGCTAAGCATCCTTTGCTCCACAGTTCTTCAGAAGTTAAAAAGACTGTTGAAAACTCAGATTTTCAGGTACTGAATTAGTACCCAGGAGCCCAACCTAAAACATCCACTTCTGTATTCCTCATTCACAGTTTTTATAAGAAGCAGCTGAGGAAATGAAGCATAGGAAAAATGATGGTTTGTGTGTTGTTTTTTTCTTTGAATCAAATTCCAAATTTCCAAATCTTTTTAACCTTAAAAAGAACTTGCAGTATATCTCTGTATGAGAATAATATATCTTTCATTTTGATACTGATTTTAAAATACTCCTGAGCTTTATTAGAACACTCAGGACACAGCCCTGCCAGGTTTCTTTGCCAAAAAAACATAAAACATAATAAAGGCTTTGCATTGCATCACAATGTTTCTCTACTGATATGAGAACAGTTTACTATGAAACGTTATTTAATTCAAAATGCTAGGGAACGATATAACAGAATGAGCAGAAGGGAACATTTAGAATGAACATGAGAGGGGAAAAAGTTGGGGTTTTTTTTAAAAGTACTCTATCAACATGGGCCCAAGCATGCAACACTTCCAAAGGAAGAGATGTAATCCTCATCACTTGAGCAGTTTAGATTTAAGCCACACAAGTTGCATGGGAATATATAGCAGAGAGAAAACCCACAGTGCCTTGAGTTGAATAGTTTGAATGATCTAGTACGTCTTCCACCTCTTAGACAGAGCTTTGAATAATGACAGAGGTGACAAATTTTCGATAGGGGGGCTTGTGTGATTGTTTGATGGGGTTTTTTGTGGGTTTTTATTTTTGTTTTTAGATAATTTATGGCACTTGGAATTACAATGATCAAATATACTGGACTCTTTGGACTGCTGGTACTTAACCTCTCATAGACCTCCTTCATCCATGCTTCCACACTCACTGAATGACTATCACAACCCACACATCTACAGTTTCTTTCTAAGTTTATTCTATACCCTTTCTCAGAAGGGTTTTTGTATTGTCATTTCTGTATGACTTTGCCTTGTTTTTCATAGTTAGTAATTTATTCTTCCCAGTGTCTCGTTTCCATTCTTTACAGTGGTCTCCATTCACCCATCTCCCTTGAACAGTTCTGACGAAAGGAATGTCTTTCCCAAGACACTCTGCAATGTCTTTGGCATATGAAAATTGAAATTGTCCCTGAATTTCAGTCTCTGTTGCTGTAAGAAAACTATTTACTAAGAAAGGCATACTTGAGAATTGTTCTAGAGTCTTTGTCAACACTTTCTCTCAAAGGATGTTATTTCTATCTTTATTCTTTTGAGTTTTGAGATGTAACAGAACTAGTACTAGTAGTGCTTGCAACAGAATGTCCCATAGAAAATTACTGTGCCTCAATTTAAAGAAACCAGACAAGCAAAGTGAAGAAACAATAGAGAAAGGAACTTAAGGAGCCAAGCAAACAAAGAAGGGGTATTACACAACCAGGCGCACTGTCTTAAAGCAGTTTATAAAGCAATCACTCAGAACTTTGGGGTCTCCAGACAGAAAGGACCTCCAGAGACCCTCAGTGAAGCCCCTCAGAGACCTTATAAGGATACATATATATGCTAATAACTGTTGGGAAGTGTCATGAATATGTAATAGGATGATGAGAAACAAAAATGAATAATCATGGAATGCAAACATGTAAACTGTAGCTGAGATGTCATGGTGTGCACTTTGGCAAAATTATTACCAGTACACCTGGTTCACAGAATAAATAATGCCTGACTTCTAAACTCACAAATTGAGTCTGAGAGGTTTCTTTTAAGTGCCAATTTTGGGCAACAGTTTGGAGTGTGCCTGATACACAAACAAAACACAGCAAGGCAGAAGAAAGAAAAATTATCCCTTATTATAAATAAAATCTTCATTCAAGTGAAGACATTCATCTTTTAGATGTCTACCAACAGCACCATAAGTGCCTAAATCCGAGGTCATCACCATTATAATCCACATATATGTTAAAATTTCTGAGTTACTTTGTTTTCTATCATATTCTCTCCATTGATTGTATGGGAAGACTAGAGTAAATGAGGAATAGGCATCTGTAAAATTAACACCCACAATTGGTTGTATTACTCCCAACAGATGGAGACAGATACTCAGAGCAACAAAACAATATGGCTAATGTGAAGTCAATGGAATTATGGTCTAACCATGGTCAAGGTATAATAACTCAATGACACTGGATTAAAAAAATCAAATATGGTTGTTAGTACAAGGGTCAGCCTCAGCAATGTCTAAACTCTATTTAATTTGTGGGCTCATATTAGCTCTCTTGTCCTCAACTATAAAGTCTTTTTTTTTATTGGAATAAGCTCATTAAGTTCTGCCTTCCCAAAAATTCAGGACTTACTTCAGAGGAAATTTCCTAGTACTTCTAATATTTTTTAATGATATATTCTTACCTCCTTCCTTGGAGCAGAGGGTGATCAGAGTGTGAACTGTATCCATCAATTCAAGCTGCTGTTTCTGTAGGACACTGTTATTGCTTGTTGCCTTGTTTAACTGCTTCTCTAGTTCCTGGATTATGTAGCTTTGCCGTGTGACTAAGCTTTGTAGGTTCTCTTTTTCCTCCTTCAAAGTGGCCAGCTCCTCTTTATGCCTTTCTTCCATTTCCAAAATTCTGTGCTCAAGAAAGCTAAAATGAAATCAAACAATTAGTGATATTATTTCAAGCCAAAATAGTTAGGAATACAAAAAAGGACTTTTTTTTCATGGTATAATTCATTACGTAACTCAATAATTCTAAAAATGTCACATCTAGTAATTCAGCCCACTGATTTTGTCTGTCAAGTAGCCAAATATGACTGATATCTAAGATTCCATTTTGTGATGTTTGCATGCTGTACTGCTTGAATTGCATGGAACTGCATATGTAGGTGTTACTCTTGTCTAAGTACATGAGCATAAGGTCAGCAACACAGAATCACAGAATATGTTGAGTTGGAAGGGACCCACATATTTGTACATAAAACCTCAGGCACAAAAGACTAAGGCAGGCAGAGGAGGGAGAAGAGTAGGATGTTGAAGGGCAATATGGCTGGGTCAATATGATATGACATAAAAATCAGGGACAAACTGAGAAAGAGCTTGTGAAGGGCCTTGCCACTGAATGGAAGATAAGCATTGGCAGCTATGGAAGACCATCAAGAGATATGGAACCCATAATAAAAGTACTATTTGATGTGGTCTGTGAAGCTGGGATAAGTATTGCGCTCCAGACGACTGGTAGCTTCTTTCTCATTAAGAATAGTAGTGTTTTACCAAAAGGTAACTAAAAAAAATTTGCATTTTAATGTAAGATTCCCTTGTTTTCCTTGAGTCTACATATGTATTCCACCACACTCCCCAGCGATGTTTTCTTATTCCACAAAAGGCTCCTCAGACAGAAAACTGTTGGGCATCATACTACGCAACCTGCTTACATCAATTTTTATAAATAAAATTACATGTGTATAGAAACACTTTCTCTGGATTAATATTCTTTTTCTACTACCCTCTCTGTCCTGTGCTGAAGTGTACAATTTATAAAGATCAAAGACATATTGAAATATATCTAAAAGAATAGAGGTGTTGTAGACAAAGGACAGCCAATATCTCTCAACAGTGAACAAGAATTTTTTTAATGACAGTGCTTTGATGCTGTGGTGGGAGTTTAGCAGAAAGACTTTATTAATATTAGATAAAGAAAGTAATTCAATCTCTCTTCTACTTTCTCTTTAGGGATTCTACTGTATACACCAAAAGAGATGTTTCTCATGCCCACAAACCAACTGGTGGTTACAAACTTACCAACAAACTGCTTCCTGTTCAAGTCAGTCTTAGGTTTTATTTATTTGCACTCTCCCTCCACCTTTGTTTTTACTTCTGGATAATAGATCAGTGGCAAAATGCCTGCATAATTTCAGGTCATTTAACCTAACTGAAGAATGTAATAAAATCCATATGGAGTTGTTTCTACTTGATATCACAGAGCCTTAATATGAGCTGTTACAGATGATAACAATGCAAAGATTAAATTCAGGCCCTGGATTTGCTGTACAAGCTAGAGTGAGATCAAACTTTTTTTGTTTGTTTGTTTGTTTGTTTGAAAAAAAAAAAAGAAACCAAGCAGCAATTTTTTTTTCTGAAACATTATAAATGTGGGACTTACAAAGATACTAAAGAAAACATACTTGGTATACTTTGTAATATCAACATATCTAGTTCTGTGAAAATCAGAAGCATCTGGGTAAAGGGAGCAAAAAAAGAAAAGATGGGAAGGGGATTTTTCATGGGGTCCCAAACACAAAGGGGAACACGATATCTCATTTTAAAAGGCTCATTAATTAGTAAAAAAAGTATAAGGTTTGGTGGACTGGAATGAGATGGTAGAAAGTTATAATCTGAAACAAAGTATAGATTTTGAAGCCAAAGACTATAAATTATTTTAATACTTAAACAGACCTGTGGCTGATTTTTTTCATCACTTGAACTGTAACATTAAACACCATGCTCTAGATTCACATAGATTTTTTTGAGAATATTTATGTGAAAGTTTTGGAATTTTGTTATGCAGAAGGTCAGATGTAGTTTAGCTAGGCAGAAGTGGACAAAAATGTTCAGATGGATTTGGTTTTAGTCAAAAAGTATTGCTTGAAAAAAATGTTCCATTTGATATTTATAAGTTCTATCCACTTTTTTCCACTTTTTTTACAGAAATTATTGAAGCCCTCATTATTACTCTAGATTTTAACTTTTCTGATAGATTAGTTATGTCAATGTACTTGGCATAGGAACAAAGTGGGTCCTGGGCACAGTCTGTAATAGAATGGGTGCTAGGTGGGGCCACATCCCAGTCTGACAGCTTACAGTCCACTGAAATGTTTTATATTATCAATGTAAGAGAATATACCATTCTGGAAGCTAGAATATAGCTTTAGAGTTAAGTAGTAAGAAAAGACAAAAAAGTTCCCTTTATTTTTGTCCATATCGTAGTACAGTACAATTTATTTCCTTAATTCCACAATATTCTATTTACATGTCCACAACTAAATGATTTCCATAACTGAATGATTTCATGTGAAAGAAATAGCCTTTGACAGCCACAATTTATGTACTGGATTATTGGTTTCCCACTGTGGCCTTCCTAAGACCACAGTAAATGAACCCATGGTGATGACAGTCTTATTTGCAGCAGCACTGGCCATGTCGAGCAAGAAGGAAGAAGCCGACAATGTTTAGACCTTCACAGTTTGGCATCTACACAGACAGACAGCAAGCAGATGTTTTACAGCTCTAGTAATAGTACATCCTAACATTTCTGAGTGGTGTGTCAACATGTGGTGGAAAGATGGAAGTGTCACAGCATTTGGTTCCTTTACAATTTGCTATGTAGATTAAAAGTCCTATTATTATAAACTGCAAACCTAAGCTATTTTCAGGAATGCATATGCATTTATGCAATGAGCTTTCTATATTCATAAATCTATATCAGATAAGAGTAAGTCCTGAGGATAGGACCACTCCCTGTATTCCTGGAAGAAGTCCAAAATATTCATTTTGTTTCACTAAGAATCAATGAGAAACCTTTCATCAAAGCTCCAAATGAACAAAAACAAAGTCTTCACATAGATCAGGGATTTCTGAACTGGCCTGTTCCAAAAGGAAGAAATCCTTAAACAGCGTGAGAAAAGCTGCTCTTATGGCTTTTGTCTCCAATGTGGCCAGAATTTTTCATTGGTATTGTTACATTAATACTTGCTATAGCTCATTTAAATAAAAATAATAAAAAAAGAAGTTCTAGGATCTCATAAAAAAATCTTGGAACAGATTGAAAGTTATTACAAAGATACTTAGCTATTCTTTTTAACAGTTGCAAGACCACTATGTTGTCTCTTTTTGTGAGATCAGACAACTTCTAATAAACAATTGCCATGAAGAAATAACTTTGCTGAGTGCTTGTTAAAGATATTTTCTCAATTTTTTAAAGAAGCATTGTGAAAACAAAATTAAAATGAAACTATTTCTACTAGCTTTCATTAGTGACTATTGTTAGCATAAAATATTAAACAAAAAGAAGGCTGTCTCTATATCAATGAATCCAAAAATCTGTAAAGGCTGACTGAAACATTCTTTTATAGCACTTTCCATAAAATTTTATGGTTCTTTTTTGCAGTAAGTGTGCCTTTCCTACACATCTAAAGTTTCTATATGTTTCCAATATATTTGAAATTTACATATGTTTGAAAATATTACTGATCTAGACAGATGAAACCATCATGGGAACTACAAAACAATAAAAATAAATCACTAGAAGCATCATATAAATATACATTATATGTATATGTATAAAGACATGCATATATATGTGGGGTTTATATTTGTAGCCTTCAATCTGGGGAAATAAATCAGTCTTTTGGGGAACAGAATGAAGTTGTGAAGAAAAAAATATTGTTAACGTGAGTAAATACCAAGATTATCCATTGGACAATGACTCTTCGGAGTCATTATCTATAAGACAAGCTAAAAACAAACATGCACACCCCTAACCCAGACAAATTTATTTTTCCTAAAAAATAACTATGTCTCAAAGTCTAATATAGTGATTTTGGTGGGGCAAGGAATCTATATTCAACCATACAAATGATGTGCTGACTTTGTCAGTGTATAAGCCAGTGGAATGCCTGGTGCAACTGTGCTCTGTCCAGCTGATTCAGAAGCCCTCTAATAATGCTGGGGAGGGTAGAACACCCAAACAGAAGTCTAAGAATGACTTCCAGTGAAAGCTGTTGTCGTTTTGAAAGGTGATGAAGTAGAACATATAGGAAGCACTCTGGTAGCTGTCCAGGAAGGAAGAAAAGTCTGGTTTAGACAATTTGCCTTATAAGGCAGGTAGTTTATTCACTAATCCGTTCCAGACCATAGGAGTTCAAGAGATTTTTTTAATCTTTGTTTTCAGAGGCCTCAGTTTAGACATGTGAGAACAGGATATAGACCAGATCTTAGAGATGGACATCTTTCTCATTAAAATAATCTTTAAAAAAATCAAGATATATTAAATATACAGATAAAACATATACTTTGTTGAGCTATTCAAGTAAATAAAAACAAATAATGTCATACTAGAAAAAAATTAGTTGGCCATAAATATGTACCTTTCTTTTACTGTATATATGTGGGAAGACAAACAGGAAGAGGATTTCAGTGGGGTTTTTTGAGTGGAAGAACATTATTCTCTCATTGAGACAGTTTCTTTGTACTTCCTTTTAGATGAGTGGAATTTTCCCTGTATTGTTAGGTGTTGATCACTCATACTTACCTTGGTGGTCTGATATTGTTTGAACAGCCTAAGAGAATATGAAAATATGTGTCCCCATATTTCTCAAAGCAAATGAAGTAACTGGAAAAGTAAAGTAATCCAGAATTCCATTATACTTTTCCTCATTTGTTTCATTTCAGTAAACAAAAAGGTTTTTTTACACTTGCATATTGAAACAAATGGCACACTATAAGTTAAATGCAGCTGGTACACTCTGGGGGAAAAAATGGAGCTCATAATCCACTTAAGCAGGGAAGTCTTTCAAGAATAAATCAAAATAACATTTAGAAAGCTCTTGTGGGAGAAAAAAATGGCAATGGAAGAAACCACCATTTACATTATAGTGGGTGGGAACCCACAAAACTAAATTATTTATGGCATGAGAGCACTCAATAGAAACATGATTCTAGGGCAAATGTGACTACTTGTGCCATGGAAAATCTTTCACTTCAGTGGATAAAAAGAAAAAAAATTGGCCCTTCTTCCCAGCAGAGACAGGAAATGAAGAGAAAGGCCAAGAATAGACATATTTGTAGTCTAAAGAACATGCACTGGTCCCTTGTTGATAGACAGTGTTCATTTCATTTAAAGATAATGTACCACTTATTATAGTACCTCACTGATGAGTTATTGTTACTATAAGAGTTTGTATTACTTTCATTCGAAATCCAGCTCTTAGAAAGTGACTAAGATTGTTATTTTTATTTTATATGGAGGAATTTTAGCACAGAGAAAGAAATTATCAGCTCACAGTACACCACCTGTTTCAATCATTCTTGCAATGACAATAGTTCCTACACTAGTTCCCACTGCAGTGTAAATCTGCTGCAAAAGAAAGGCCCTTTCCAAAAAAGCTTACAGTCCATGTAAGCAACATGGATAAAAGGAGTTTTCTCTCTTTTATTGATGTGAAAGTGATATGGAGAGGGATGAAGAGAATTTAACTGCAAATAGCTACTAAACACAACCTGATGGGTAATCTGTAAATACTGGTTAAATTTAAACAAGATAAAATCATTGGCATGTCCACAAACCTAGGATCTGCTGAGGTCACCAAGATTTGTCCTACAGTGAACCTGACACACAAATAACTGATTTCAAGATCAGGACCTGCAAGGCCAAGACCACACAGTTCTTTGTTAGGAGTAGATGATGATAAAAGAGCTTATGATCTATATTTTAGTGTAATCATAACACTGCCCTCTCCCTAATTTTATCACTCCCAAGGAGAGTGTAAAAGAACCTACATAGTGCATGCCAGGTTCTTGCTTCATTGCAAGATGAAATTCCACATGCTTTTCCATTTTTCCACATATACCCGTACCTCTGAGAGAAACAGTAAGGTGTGCTTTTTAAAACAGTCCTCCTTTTCCTCTGACTTTTCATGGACCATTTCATCATAATGTCAGCCAAGTCAAAGGTCAACTCAAGTAAATCTTATTTGTTTACTGACATGAAGGCTTTATACTCTGATACATTACTAAGGTAAATAAATAAATTCAAATTATTAACTATACAAAATTCAGTCTCTTGAGCAGCCAACAAAATTTTGTTGCTAACCAGATTGCAGCAGATAAAAGTGCAAGTATTTATATACTTAACTAATGCTTGGATTAATCCCGATTTGATATAGATTTGTAAACTATGTAGAATGAACTGCCTCCTGCCCTTACCCACTCTCTCTGTGGATTACAGGGAGAACCCACATAAATATTTTAGGTGATTACTTAGTTTTGAGATGGCTGAAGGCAAAGTTAATCCCATGCTAATTTATTGACATTTCCAATTGGTTAAGGGACATCTGTGGAGTTCAAGAGTTTTCAGTGTAATCCAATTTGTCCAGAATAATATTTGTTGGAATTACTGATTATAAACAGTTGTTAGATTAAACACATTAAATTGATTTTCATAATCACTAGCAATAGTGATTGCTTTGCTACTAGACACATTTACCAAATACATTTCTTTGTAATAATATTTTCTATTTTTCACCATTACTTGATTTTGCCTTCTCTACTGTGGCTCCTTGCTTACCTTGATGTTAGTCTGCCTCATCTATAGCCCTGGGCAAGGTTTTTCTGCCTCAGTTGCTGATTCCTGTCCAGCAGCACCAGTGTTACACTGCGCTTTTTGACAAACTGGTTGATCTCAATTGAAACAGTCCTCTAAAACCTGTATCAGATGCTTCAGTATCTGCTTCATGTTTAAAGCTGTTTACCTTATTTCATTGCCAATATAGACAGCAGAAATAGAAACCAGTCCTAGTCAGACTGACCTCACAGTTATTCTTTCTAGAAGGGAGCTGAGAGTGAGGTTGTGGAGTGAAAGCACTCTGTGTCCTCCCTGCTTGCACCTGTCCCTTACAGAGGCTGCAGTAAAGTGGATCTCTCAAAGGGCTGTCGGGAAGGGGAGTGGCTTTTCCTACTGTACTGGGTGCCAATGCCCACGTGCTGGCAGCAGGGGCTGTGAGGCAGCCTCTGTGAGGAAACGCCGCCGGGGCTGCCTCATATAGGACACAGCTGGTTCCAACCAGCTCCAGCCGACCCACCACAGGGTACAGTGTGAGGAGTGAGGGGAAAAGTGAGAGAAACAGTGCTGCAGGCACCAAGATCAGAGAAGAGGAGGGAAGGAGGCACTGGAACAGATAGAACCCTACAGCCTGTGGGAAAGACCACGGTGGAGCAGATATTTTCCACAGAGGACCCCATGCTGGAGCAGGTGATGTCCAAAAGTAGGCTGCAGCCTATGGAGAGCCCATGTGGAGCAGTCTTATCTGCAGCCTGTGGGAAAGAACCATGCTGGAGAAAGAGCATGAGAAAGAAGGAGAGGCAAAGAGTTGTGCACTGTCCACAACCCCATTCCTCATTCCCCTGCACGGCTCGGGGGGGAGATAGAAGAGTCAGGAGTAAAGCTGACCCTGGGAAAAAGGGGAGGTACGGGTGAAAGGTCTTTTTGGTTTTGTTTCTGTTTCTCACCATCCTATGCTGTTATTAATTGGCAGTAAATAAGGCTGTTTTACTCATGACAGTAACTGATGAGTGATCTCCCTGTCTTTATCTTGACCACAAGCTTTTTCATCATATTTTCTCCCCATTCTGATGACGAGGGGCAGTGAGAGAGTGGCTGGGTGGGCGTCTGGCAGCCAGACAGGGTCAACCCACCACACATGCTCCCTGACATACTGAATTGCCAAGTCCAGTGACTTCAGGTGCCACAAAAAGGGAACATTGGAACTGTTTCTTGACTCTCACTTTCCTGCTTAAAAAAGTTATGCTGCTAAACAGTTTTTTCATCAGCTTTAACATAAACCCCAAATGTTTACCATTGACTTATTCCTTAAATGGAGCATGGCTCCAAGTATGCTATATATAATTGAGTCCAAAGGAGAGAGAGATCCTTCTACATGTCATATATTTGTATCCATTAAAATTAGAGGTGAACTACTGAATATTTTCTGTTTCTTATGCACTTTAAGACTGTTGAAAATCTCATCATTTTTTATTAATATTTTTCTACTTGAAAGTGCTCACAAAAGTTATCTCTATCCTTTTTGGTAGTAGGAACTGTGGTCATACGACCCAGTTGTCATGAAGCAAACTAAGATGTGAACTTACAGTGAACATGAAAAGTGGTAAAAATCTGCTTGCATTTATCATATGGGAGCTAACATAGTGTAAGTTCACACACCTTAGGTCTTTTAGCCATTTCCTAAACATTACATATGCTTTCCACTTACCATATTTGCTTCTTTCATTCCATCAGTTGCTTAGAAGAAAGTATGCACAGATCACCTTCTGATGAACAGAGAAAGAGTATAAGAGACTCATTCTTACCTATTTTTCTCGTGAATTTTTAGGATTTCATGTGTCTGTTGTAGCAGTTGTTTTTCTAGCTTGTACGTTGACAGTGAATTTTCCAGTAGCTGAATTTCAAGTCTGGATGTTTGATTTAGCACCTTAGAGATAAATTAAAAACATTAATGTTTATATTGTCCTTGTCGTTTTGTCATAGAAGCGTAATAAAATCATTTCATTCTGATTCAATGATTTTCAAAAAGTGTTTCTAAATCCTTTTTTAACCTCAGCTGCTCAGCTGGTGCAAATGAACTCAATCAAGCTACACTGATATATACCAGCTGATGTTCTGGCAACCTGTTTACTGTAGAATAATACTAGACCAGCAGAAAAAGGCAAGGTGACTGCCAAATAAGCTTCATTTCAATGGAAAGAACAAGAGGCTTGCCTCAAACATGCATTCCTCCAAAGCATGCTTAAACCAGAAAAGTTCAGGAGTACTTGGACTGAAGTCAAAGTGTTGCCTCTGCTGTTTTGTAAATAGAGCTCCTACTTTAGCTTTCCCCTGAGTTCTCTCTTCTGCAGTGTTGGCAGATGACTGGTGTCTGCATATATGATCACTATTTGTACTCTTGCAAAGACTTTTAAGATGAACACTGTGATCCTAAACATTGCTTTATACAATTCCCTTTCACTTTAGTGGTGGTCTGTATCAGCAGCACAAGTTTCAAAAAGTACATCAGACCAAAAGAAGACTTAACTAGATGAAAGAGAATAGATTCTAACAAAAATAGTTCAGAAGCAGAAATAGCAGAATGTTTTCAAGAGTGAAAGCAATAATATTAAGTAATGTTAGTTGATTTTTTTGGGTTATTGTCATTCATTACATGGAGTCTGAAGGAGTGTGTAAGTAGTTTTTGTGGATGTGTGTGCACACAACACCTGAGATGCAATCACTTCTGAAAAATTATGTCTCTTTAATAGAATCTATCAGACCTTTCTTGGAAGGATATTAATCATCGTCATCACAGGATTTTAAATAACATTTTCTCATGCATAGATTCATAGAATAGTTTGAGTTGAATAGGACTTTAAAGGTCATCCAGTCCAATCCCTCTAGAATAAGCAAGGACATCAACTAGATCAGGTTTCTCAGACCCCATTCAATGTGACCTTGAACATTTCCAGGGATGGAGTGCCCATCAGCTCTCTGGGCAACCTGTTCCAGTATTTCATCATCCTCACAGTAAAAACCTTCTTTCTTTAATCTAAATCCACCATCCTTCAGTTTAAAACCCTTGTTCTGTCACAACAGCCCCTGTTAAATAATTTGTCCCCGTCTTTCTTGGAGGCCCCTTAAAGCACTAGAAGTCTGCAGTAAGATTTCCCTAGAGCTTTCTCTTCTCCAGGCTGAACAATTCCAACTCTCTCAGCCTGTCTTCATAGTCCAGATGCTCCAGTCCTCTCATCATCTTCACTGCCCTCCTCTGGACCCACTCCAAGAGGTCCATGTCTTTCCTTTGCGGAGGACCCCATAGCATTCCTGGCAGGAATTTGTTACACAACATAAAGCGATGAGAATGGCTCTCAAGCTCAGTTCAGTGCCTTATATTTGTTTGAAATCATTGACATTCACAGAGCAACACGAGTTGTCCTTTCTCAAGAGTACAGAGGTTGAAAAATTTGAAAATCATCAGTATGGAGCTGTTATGTTTTTCAAGATGGGTACAATCCTGGAAGTGCCAAGACACATCACAGAAGGACCTTGCAGAAATTGAAAGTGTATTATGAAGATTGGTAAAGAATAAGAAGTCCAGAAAGAACAAACAGATTTCCAAAGAAGATATCTCTGTGAAGCAGCCTACAAAATGTCAGTAGAGCTTCAGGTAGAGAGGAAAGCCTAAAGGGAATCTGTGGGTTTTTAGATGGATCAGGGATTGAGAGGGCTTACTGAGAAATAAGGAGATGGTGGCTCTATCATCAGTCCTTCAGATTGCTCCTTGCTCTGGCATGAACACTGCTTATTACAAGCATGAGAATATGACATGCCTTTCTCATAATAGCTACAGACCTTGGTCACTCAGCCATGCAGCTGGCTGCCTCCATCACTTCAAGAGCAGTCGTTTTTCACTTTCTTGAGCCACCTGCACCACTCTTTTCTGATTGATGATAGAGCCAGGGACTACAGGGACTTTCTAATGCTGCTGAAACAAGGTACATAGAATATGCCATCACTGAGCTGAAAGTCACTGCAAGTACTGCAAGAAGGAAGAGCCACAAGCTGGTATCTTGAACATCCTTTAAGTTCTCCATCAATAGGGATAAAAAGAGGAAATGATCCACACCTCCATGCAGTTGTCAGTGATAACTCTACCTTGAAGTGAATCCTCAAAGGAAAAGTGTCCCTTACCTGCTAAAAGGGGGAAACCATGAATGAGTACTCAACATACAAACCTACAGAGTCCTTTCTGGATATAAGAAGAGTTCCTATGCTTCCTTTACTGAATATATGATACTACAGTTAGTAGGTATTCACCATTTTTTTTCATAATCAATATACTATGTTTAAGGAACTATGGTAATTTGAGATCACAGTGCTTATAAGTGAATATTGATCCAAGATGTAGCAGAAGAGGTGCAGAGAACATGTGTAAGACATGTCTGTTTTTCATAATTACTGTTATTTCTCAGTGTACTTTAATGTGAATGCATTAAAAATTGGTAATGATATTATAAAGATAAGCAGGGACATTAAAACAGAAAATACAATCTTTCAAGAAGAATATATGCTAGAAGAACAAAAAATAACTGCAATACTTTAATTCCCCTATTTTAAATGAACAGTGAAAGCAGTGCAGCTGGTAACACACTATATGCTACAAAAATCATTAGGAAATCAGCAAAAATAAGGACAAAAAATATGCACCTTAAAACGATAAAAGCACTCAAAAAGCAAAAAGTACCTATCTTTGCAATAGGCCCAGAGTTAAACTGTATTCAGTGTTTTGACAGTGATATGCATAACTTCAATCATAACAGTGATTTTAGTGCTAGGAATCACGTGGAAATGGTTCTTTAAATTCATGTGATGTTATACAATTTTACAGTAAAAAAAATACACAGTGTTTTATAAAGAAGCTGATGCTTGTCCCTCTCCACAGTTTAAAAGCTGCAAACATAGTCTACATTTCAAATGGCTGGAAACAACTTGCAGAAAATAAACAAACCTTTTTGGAATAGTAAAGAGACAAACAACAATGAAGATCAAAGGCTCTGATTTAGCCTGAAGGTCATTATTTAGCTTGACACTTGTATCATTCACAGTTGGTAGTTGCACTGTTTATTGAAAGTCTAATGGTGATTTAGTTTCCCGGACAGTCCTGCCTTTCTTACACACACAGAGCTAAATATCACTAACCAAATGAAATCAAAAGAAAAACACATAACAAGGGTCAATTATCACTGCTGTTGCTACCAAGAAACAGAGTGTGTAATGTTTCTTGGAGTCCTGTGTTGGAATGTTTTGTGTGGTGATGGATTAGAAAGGAAAGAGGATGGGAAACCTTCTCTGTAATTAACAGCTTTTACAAAACCATTCTGGGAACATACCTGGGTTTCAACATCCGTAAGTTTTCTTGTCTGCTCTGCTGTCTGGCTGAGGAGGCTGGTACCTATCTCGAGCATGGTGGCAGTGTGATTCTGCACAGCATTCTGCTGCAGCTGCACCATCTCTGATTTCATGTTTTCCACAATGTAGTTCTCAAGCTGTAAAAGAGAAAAGGTTGTAACTGTAGTATTTTTACCTGTTCAGGCATTCTGGTGATGTCAGGGTGCATAGCTGGCATTCTTGCCAAAAGCAGAAATTCTAATATTTTCAGAGAGAGTCCAAGTTTCATTTGACCCTATGACTGTTGGGATAGGGACCTGACTATACGCTCCTTTCAGTCCCAGAGTCCCAATGTTTTTCCAAGTGTCACGGCCTGCTGGCATGAGCTGGAGCACGCCCTGCCTGACTCCATCTGTGTCAAGGTTGCAGTGGGCATTTGTCATGGACATGTCACAGCAGCTCCAAAATGAACCCCTAAAAGAGCAAAACACACCACAGGGAAACACCAAGCCCTACCTGAACATCATAACTTACATGTAAGTCCTTCCTAGAAGAGATCCTACCATATCCTACCTCTCCCAGTTTGTTATGCCTGTCTCACAGTCATTCAGCAACGTGATTTTTATTTGGTAAGATCATCACAAAGATTTTCACAAACTCAGCAATGAACACAGCTTAGTTTATCTGTAAAGGAATGAAGACACTGTCATGACAATAAAAGAAATATAGAAAAATTATAGAAAGCTGGTTTGCTCCTTTGCTTTTGTTGTCTTGATATTTGGCTTGTGTTGGCAATCTGTTGAACAGAATCTGAACTAGGACTCTCTAAATAAACTGAGTACCCCAGAGAGGGACACTTTTTGTTGCAGTTTGTTTTAGTTAACATAGGCAGGATTGTTGCCTTCTAGCTGATGGGGTTCTTGCCCTGTCACAGCAGACCATAAACCTAGAACTAGTAAACAGGAAGATGAGATTGTTTCTTACACAAACATTGTTCTGGCTTGATGTGCTCCAAAAAGTATTAACATAAAGGAAGGTGGCCCAGAATATAATTTTCAATACGTCCCACTGAAATCAGCTGGACTACAGCCAGTTTACACCCAGTGAAGATTTGGTCCTCGTTTTCATTTGGTTGCCGAACATGGTTTTTTGTGGTTAGCTGATTCCAGACTTCAGCAACCACTGTTTTGCCTAACACATTTAATCACATTAGGCCTGCTTCTGTAGCAGTAAGTGTATTTTACTATGAAAGATAAGCTGCACAACTAAATAGTAGGGACCAGATGGAGTTGATTTAAAGACTGAAAAAAGGACCAGAAGTCAGATATACAGTGTGATTAATAAGAAGGGCTGCTTTTATCTTATCTATAGGCATACCTGTGCCTAGAGGTCAGTATTTTTAGATGTTCTAATGAGCCACTTCAGTTGAGCTCACAAAATATTTATTACAAGTTTGATCATTTTTGGGCACCTACTAGTTTTGTAAACACTTTTACAAAGAAAGAACACTGCCACAATGTAAAATATTTTCTGCATAAGACAATTGTTGACGTTTTATTTGTCTGTTTGTTTGTTTACTCCAGTTTGAAGAAGCAATACCCAGGATGATCAAAACTAAAGTGGATATCCTACAATTCCAGATAACAAAAAACTTTGATTGAATTGTCAGGTAACCGCTATGAGATGGAAACTTGCAGAGTGTTTTAAGAGGTTGGTAAAATTTATTTTCAAATACTCTGATAAATATATAAATGAGATTTAACAGCCAAGGAAAACTGTTCCAAAGTAATGTCTCAATGGATGTCACCATTTTCCACTCTCAGTGTAACTTTAGTACTCTGATTTAGCTAATAGCTGTGAGACAAGTGTTATAGATATTGAGCTAGTTCAAGGGAGATTTTGCATATCTATAACATTTCTATACCATGCTAAACTATATTCAGAAGTATTTTGCCTATATATCTCTTTCTCATAAGATAATGCATTTTTAGACACCCTTTGCTTCTTGTTTTCTAACCAGTAATGATTTTAATTTTTTTTATCCCTCGAATGCAAATAAGCCCTATGAATGAGCCCAAAAAACTGGATGGTTGTCCTTTACCATATTCAGGTCCAGAATAAGGAAGTTGATTCTGGAACATCTGAACAAGAATTTTGAATTTCCCCCACAAATTTCACTTCCTAAAGAAACAGGGCTCTCCAGTCACGGTACTGCTCCTGATGAGTTACCAACACACACATTTCCTGACATCCAATGTCTTTTGCTTTCAGATAGGAACATAGCATGGCTGCGATGTGGCTGTTCCTTGCTTGATTTGTTAGTCTGCAGCTTTCTGAAACTGTCTTGCTGTACATGGGCCACATTGTGCATGTGTGTAATGAATGCCTGTGAAAACCCATGCAAAAATGTGGTAACTACATTTATTACACATCAGAAATTAGATATTTTACGTATCAATAAAAAAGCCCACAGATAGGACATTTATATTTCTAAGTATTTTTTTTGTCTATTACTTTGCTCACATTACAGAAAGGTTTGCAATGGAAAGATCTCATTGTGATTGTGTGGAGCTACAGCAGTTTTGACTAGCAAGAACAAGGCATAGATTGAGGCATATTGGATAACTTCTTCATTTAATTATTGCAATCTAACACAGTCCCCATAGTATCCAGTTTTGGGCAATTGCCCTTGGTTATTCACCCCTAAAACAGTCTCAGGTTGAATCTGAGACTGACTCATTATAACAACAAAACTGACTTTCCTGTTTCAGAATTACTCATTAAATGCTTTTGTAAATATTTGGTGTTCAGTATATGGCCACAATAGTTTCTGTGAGCACATCTCTGAAGTATCAAGAGTTATTCATTCAGGCAAAGAAGGGTTGAACAAGGGCTAAAATAATGTAGAGATGCTGTGACATTAATTCCCCTTATTTCATTCACCCGCTTCTTTTAGTTTGCTCAGTAGATTTATTGATTGCAATACTGGCCCTGGTAAAATAATGGGAAAATTCCCATTGAGTTCAGTAGGCCAAAATTTCACCTATTATTTTTATTGCAGGAAGCCAATATTTACCAGGTTCATTATGACCAAGCACAGAGTTTCTTCTGAAGCTTTCCCTTCTTTGCAGGCATTATATTAAGTGTACTGAAGGGAGCTTTCTTTGTGGTTAGTTAAGAGCAATAGGATCTATCTAACAGGTGAAAAAAGGATCCTTGCAGGGTGGTCTCAAAGAAAATGTGACAAGCAGAAACCTACTCACAGAAGTAAATTCAAGAACATTTAGGGGTTTAAGCCATTTTTAAGACCCCTTCATCCTATAAGTAAATTAAATTCAGTTTGTTCAGACACTCTGAATTAAACATTAAATTTATAATGCATGACAAAATACTCTTTTCAGTGAATCTACTTTTCACATTTGGATTTTCAAATCCTTATGTTACTGTATCTACTTATTTCAGGTACTTTTGTTTTTTGCAAAAGCAAAACAGAATTCTTTTCTACATTCTTTTCCCCCCATCTTACCACTCCCACTATAGGGCTTTCGATAGTACATTGACATCCTTGTTATTAATTTGGCTGCATCTGCTTTCAGTAAGACTCATTATATCGCATGGGAGTTTTGGGTAATGTGGAATTACCAGTGGGATACATAAGAACATTATAACATTCTCAGAAATAAAACTGTCAGAAGTTTCAGTGTTATTGGTTAATAAACATTCCAGAGGATTATACATTAAAAGTATCTAGCTTTTTATGGACAATGTTTATTGAATAGTCTTCATAGAAACCACCCAAACACTAATAGAACTATTAAAATGGAAACTGTAACTTAGGGTCTAAGTAAATGATAAGGGTCTGTGGCAGATGGCTGATAAATAAAATATGAGCTTTTTCTTTTACTTTGATCAAATGATGTTGGTCCCAGGTTGTTAAGAACTGCTATGATATCCAGATGATGTGAAGTTTTCATCCAGTCCCTTAGAACAAGAATGTAAGTTAAAGTAACAACAGACTGTTCTCCCTCTCCTACCATAGGCTGCACATCATTCCAAATTTTGGCAGGACAACCATCAGTGTTATTTTGTAAGAGCATTTTTGTGTATTCTTGCTTTGCATACATGAATATATACTAGTAATGCTATATCACAACACAATCACTGAAAGTTCAATTCCTCTTTCTTTGTTTTTCTGTTCAAGGGAGGGTCATACCTCTCCACACTGACAAACTGCCCTGGGGAGTGAGATATAAAATTGACATTTGATGTAATTTGTATTTTATAAATGAAACAGCCCTATTGGGAATAACACATAGAATACCACAGAATTTCTTTGACCTTTGTAGAAGCAAAAAGGGGTTGGGAAGGACTTTATCACTGAGAAAAAAGATTTTATTTGTGTATTGAAAAAGCCATCACTGCATTTATTGAAAAATATAATATATTCTACAAACTATTTGTCAATGAGAAAGGTTGATAAATAAAAATTTACAATGATGCAGCCTTCTCATATTGCAGATCCAATGAGCAGAAAACAAGCAGAATATATCTTTCCACTATTTCTGACTGTATGTGATCATTGTGAATCAGGGAAAATCAACATGGATGGCACATAAAGGTAATGGATAATGCACAAATGTTAAAACACTAATCTGCACCACATTTGAAACAACCTTGCCTGGTTATCTACATTAAGATGATACAGGAGGTATGCTGATAATTTCAGTAAAGTTATGAAATCAGCCTTGTTAAGCTAAAGTGTAAACTTTAAGTGACTGTGACACGAACTGGGCTCATGGAAAGGCGTGTTGGGATATGTGGTATATGAGGCTTTCACAAATAAATCTTTGGTTATGAAATATGCTAGTTATGAAATATATTGGTTATGAAATACATTTGTGAGTTTCAATTCTAAGAGGAACCAGAAAAGTAATCCAGCAACTCTATATGTAGTCAAACAAACATTTTTGAGGAAAGCTTGCTATAGAAACTATGTATTTTCTTTTTCATTTTTTTAATAATTCAATATACCTAGATTTCTAACCTTAAGTCAGCAAGAAAATAAACCTGTTAGCTTTTCATTTGTACATTCATAATAGTAATTATTTTCATAATTCTTTATGAATCATTATTCAATAATTATTCTGTACTTGTTTTT